CCTCTTGATAGAAATATTCTCGGAACTTATATTTAAAGGTTAGGATTGCGCAATTTCAAAAAAGGTCAGAGGACACAGCTTATCTGCATGTATTTAAATAACAAAAGCAGAAATTTGAATACCGATCAGAAGACAGAACAGACAAAATATTCAGACCTTGCATATACTTCAGTATTTTATAAGTCCACAACATAATTGCAAGCCTTTCTATTTTTAAACCTCTTCAAAATATCCATTTATTATATTTGTCCCAGAAAATTTAACTGTGGAACATCCGAGATTGAGATTCTGCAACGACTAAAATTTCAGGGCGTCTGAATTTTAATTTCTTTGGCCATATATAAGAAAGTTTGGTAGTAAGCCTCGAAGTCTATCTTGGTATATACCTTCTAGGAACATGATGGGCATTACAGGTACCTGCTTATTTTGAATAAGAAGTTCCTACAATCTGACAAAAATTCTGCATAAAATCTCGAAACTTCAGGAAAAAAATGAAAAGCAGTAAAATGGTACATCGGTTCATTTCTCCAGGTTTTTCAAGAATGTAAAAGTCCTATTTCACAGGTTAATTAAAGGGACGACGGTGATTACTTTGTGCCATCATGAACAGTACGTATGACGGACATTTTGAAATGTCTCCAGTTGAGTGAACAATTTGTCTAATGCTATGTAATTTTTTTTTCCTCAGACATGACAGCAAAAGTAACTTAAAACATGCTTGATTTCCTTCTCTGCAGACAAAATTAAGCCCTGAAAAGCAGTTCTACGTGTATATGGGTTTGTTGTGTAAAAAGAAGTTGTGCATGTTCAGTGAAAAACATCTACTCGTATTCCCTGTTCCCAAAAGCCTAAAACTGTTTCAAACACGACAAAAAGCCTTAAACCATGTTTACCATCAGAAGATATTCTGTACACTTTTTTCTGCAAATCTAATCTCTGAGTGTTGTAGCATCTGGCTTGTGCTATCTACGTTTGTCGAGGGAAGCCGTGGCAGACAGGGACCGCTTGGGCCTCGCTGATGTTTTTTGCCTACAGAAACAAGAAAAAAAAAAGCAAGAGTGTTTCAGGACATTAGATTACATACTGGTAGATAGGACAGTGGATGTTTAGTCGCTGCCAAATTTAACTTAACAGTATTCAGCAGGCTACAAGTAGACCGCGCCCTCTATTCTAAGTAATTAAGCCCATAAAGCTTATCAGATTATCACAAAATTCAAACTATGTTTGGCAGTTTGCTGAATAGCATGCACATTAAAAATCACAACATATGCTCCCAGTTGGCTGAGTTCACTCTAAAGGTGTCGTGCTTGTTCTTCCTGGGAAATAAAGAATGTTTTGGGGTTTTTTTTTAAATTGACTCCAATGTTTCATAACAGAGTGCTACATTTTCATGTTATTATTTGCGGCTCGGGAGGATTTTTTGTAAGGGCAAGAAAACCCAATTTATGAGAAGTCGCAATGATTTTGTGAAAAAAGAACCAGTCAAAGTACAAATCTTTATGTCGGGGGAAAAAGTAACTGTGCAGGTGTTCGGCAAAATACGTTTAGTAAAATTTGACAACGGCTAAATATTTACAAATAGGTCATTTGGGAGACATTTTGTGGTCATTTTTGAGCATTAGGGAGACATTGGCTTTGAGGGAGACATTTCAGTGTCTCCCTATTTTCAAACTACCAGAAGGAGGCCGAATTTTACCGTCCAAATTTTGAGAGATGATAGATTAGGGTCTAAAATGAAAACATACAAAGTTTGGTTCAGATCAGATTAGAAAATATTGAATTCTGGGACAGTAAAGTTGGAAAAATTTTGTGCACGTTCTTATGGGAATGTCTCCCTAATGACAAATTAGATTGAGAAAAAATGGACGACAAGATAAAGGAATACATCTAGCTTAATTTTTTTCAAAAAAAGTGTTGTTTTACACTCCAACCTCGTTGAAGGGTAGCTGCAATCCATTCATTTTAATACCAACCTTCAAACTGCACCTTTGTGCCTCAGCTAATCTTCTTGTCAATTTTAATTTCACTATTTCAAGGGGTTCATGTATCGTACCCCCTTTTTAGGTTTTTATGCTAATGATGAATATCTCCACACTAATGAGCTGTGATGCCATTGCAGGATGAAAGCCTCAATGCTTTGTACACAAATCCTGCCATTTTGTAGATTTTACTAGACTCGTTTTTTCCTTTCTTTATTGATTTCGTGTTTATGTGCACATCAACAAGAAAGCATCAATCTCTCCCTCACAAATGTTTTCAGCGAGTAAACTCTGCCTCTATAATTTGAAACACCTACACGTATGCACTGAACGATGTGTGCCGTAGATGACCTCAAGCAACAGCGCCCTCAGTCGTCCACGAGAGCGTGACTTATTTGAACTATTTAAAAAACAAGTTGTTTACAATACATTTGATGAAATAGGATTGCAGCGGGGTTTTCGTACAATTAAAGAAGACCCAAAGTTGAAGAAAATTCGTGTTTAAGAAAATTAAATGAATTAATTAAATCAAGAAAAATACATTGCAGCTACGCGTTTTTAATAAGAGATCCTTGGGACTTCCCCGATGACCTTGTATTATCAGGAGAGATACCAACAGAGAACAAAGGATGGGGACCAACCAATTCCCTTGTTATATCAAAGCAGAATGTTGTACTAACTGTGTTCTCGTTACTGAGGTTTGACTTGTCTGAACCCTAACAGAGTCGAGGGGGGGGGGGAATCTGCCCTCCTTATGGTCCAATCTCCTCACAGTGCATTTTTACACACCAAGCCTTCGGGAAATTTTCTAGCAATATCTTCCAGTCATTTTGATCCTGATTTGGTTTAAATCAGACATATCCGTTTCCCGTGCTGCACCTATGTTTTTCAAGAGAGCTCATCAGCCAAAAATGTCAACTTTGCCCACTGACGTGCATGCAATGTGACACAAAGGTAGTCCTCGAATGACAGGAACGTCAAACATCATCAGACGGAATTGACACTTCCCTCTGTACTGATAATGAGCATGTATATATGCATGTCCAGTCTCAATAAAACAGATTGGGCATAGGAAAGCCGACTAGCCGAGTTGCAAATGGGGTGTGGGGATGAAATGGTCTGAAAAAATGTTCTGTGAAATTGTCTGGAGAAAAAAAAACCGCTATTCTAAGGCTAAATAATTTTTTGTTCAGTTGCGAAATTTCTCAACAGATTTTCTTACAGCACCTTTGCCTGTGAATTCAGTGGTACGCACTTCTCTAAACACATCAGAAGTAACAAAATCAACATAAAAGTCCCAACAGAAAATACACACCCTCTTCAATACTTCAAACATTTCCCTGAGGTTAGTGAAAGACTCTATCACTACTTACCCGCACATCTTCATCAAAAAAATTGATTCTTCAAGATGGCGGACCACTGTAAATGCAGCACTGAAAGAAAGAAGGGAATAACAAATTGTTAAAAATCTTCAGCAATTTGATGCAATCATTTGATGTTTGTAAATAACTCCAGAAACACGACACATGGCTAAAAAAAAGGTCTTCAAATTTACCCTGCACCCTGCCATGTGTGACTACTATGCATGATATTTTATATACTGTGACTTGAGTTAGGATTGGACTTTCAATCCTTGATGGTGTCAGGCTCATGTCCACCTGCTTGTTTTGTTGCTAAGGCCGGAGCTAGGATTGGTCACTCAAGCCTGGATGGTGTCAGGCTCATGTCCACCTGCTTGTTTTGTTGCTAAAGTCAGAGCTAGGATTGGTCACTCAAGCCTGGATGGTGTCAGGCTCGAGCTAAATTCCAGCCTTGGTGACAGGCTCAAGAGCTAGGAGGGGTCACTCAAGTCTGGATGGTTTCAGGTTCAAGTCCATCTGCTGGTTTATTTTGCTCAGAGTAGAGATGGACCGGTCACTCAATCCTGAATGGTTTAAGTCCTCAAGTTGACTCAAGCGTGGTTAGGGGCTTAAGACCTAGGATTGGTCAATAAACCCTGGATGGTTTGCGGCTCAAGTCCACCAGCAGGGTCATGTTGATGAGACCAGAGCATGGATTGATCACTAAAGACTGGATAGTTCGTGGATACGGTTCAGTCAAGCCAGGTTAGAGGCTCAAGAGCTAGGATTGGTCACTGTAGCCTGGATGGTTTGAAGCTTAAGTCCATCGGCTGGGTCACGTTACTAGGACCAGAGCAAGATTAGTCACTCAATCCTGTACGATTTCAGGCTAAGGGTCACTTCCTTGTTCATTTTACTCCGACTACAGCTAGGATTGACCTCTCAACCTGAATGGTTTCATGCTCAAGATTTTTTACATCTGGTAAAGTCTCATTAGCCAGGATTGATCAATCAAGCCTGGATGATTAAAGGCTCAAATCCACCTTTTTGTTCATGTTGATGAGACCAGAGAAAGCATTTGTTATTCAATCCTTGAAGGTTTGAGGTTCCA